GAATAGTTGGAAGAACAGGATGACTCAAGAGGGAGATAGTCAGCCTGGGAGCAGAGATCAGAGGGTCACCATAAGTTTGTGAGTATATCACCAAGCTGCTCGGGCTCAAGAGAGGGATGACGAAGAACTGCTGCTGCTGACTCCTTTAAACTAGTAGTATGAGTATTTCTTAACTGAATGTAACCAATGTGTTTTTAATATAATATAGTCAAGTATAATCGTTAAACTTTGATACAATCATTGTATTCTAGTATTGGTTATTGGATCATTTGCTTTTCTTTGTATGGTATGATTGAGATTACCTGTTGGGTATCAAAATAAAGCATTCAAAGGTGTGTCACGCCATATTTGGTATTTGTCGAGTCTTTTGATCGAACCCGGGATTCATTTTTCCCAATAGCATCAGCCAGCGAGCTACAGGTGACAGCGCAAGGGAGGGAGAGAGAGGAAGGCGGTCATGGCTTAAGTGCCAGAGACCAGGAGGGAAGGGAGGACAAGGTAGCAGAAGGATAGTAGAATATACACTATACTTACCCTACCCTGGTGGATTTGATCGTGGAGGGTAGTGGGAGAGAAGTACAGAGTGGGAGTAGCGGAATGCGAGGCTTATCCATTCTTTTATCACATCCAGGCTTGTTAACTCCCTGCTCCTCTTCTCTGCACAAGCTGCAGATTATTCAGAATTTTGGGAGTCCTGTAGCTCAGTGGTTAGAGCACTCCCTTTGCAAGCGAGAGACCTGAGTTCAATTCCAGGCAGGGCGAAACCTTGGGCAAGTTTCCTTACTCCACACGCCTAATAATAATCCCTCCAAAAACCCCAAACAATAATAAATTGGTCATTTTCAATCCACGACTGTTTGTGGGACATTGCTGTGCGCAATTGGCTGCCGCGTTCGCCCACAAATTTACAGTCAATTCACTTTACAGTTTGTTCTGTGAAGCGCTTTGGGACATCCCCCCGACGTGAAAAGCGCTATATCAAATGCAAGGATTATTATTATTATTATTGTCTATAATTGACAGGTCTGAAATTCCATGTGTATTGATAACTCATGTCCTCTCCTGCACCAAGATCCGTGAGCCTATCACCCCCATTCTCACCGGGCTCCACTAGTTTCCCATCCTCCAAAGCTTTGAGTTCAAGATCCTCATCCTTAAAATCTTCCATAGTCTTTCCACACCCTACCTCTGTGACTGCTGAAATCTTACCAATCTGCTTGCTCCCTCCGCATGGCAGGCACTGGCCTGCTTTACATTCCCCGCCTATCCATCTCACCATCGGTGGTCGAGCCTTCAGCCTTCCTGGTCTTACCCTCTGGAATTCCATCTCAGCGTCTCTTCACTTGCCCCTTTACTTGTCTCCTTCAAGGCCCATCCCAAGACTTTCTCTTTGATCATGTTTTCGGATATCTTCATATCCACATCCCCTTGTGCCCACTCCAATTGAATCCAACCCCCAACTCGGGTGTAAACCCTTGACTATCCAGGGGCAAGAGTATACACTGAGCCAAGCTAACACACGTTCTTAACTACTTTCTTGTGTCTATCATGGTAATGTCACACGTAACTAAAAATCCAGTAAATTGTCATTATCACATGCCTGGTGCAATAGAGAGGGGATTTAATAGAGATCAAAATGTGGGTAAGTTTCGTAAATGCAAGGAAATTAGTCTGGAATCCTGTAAACTGTTGGGAGCGTGTCTATCACCTCTGCAGGTCATGTGAGAGCTCTATTTCCCCTTGTGCAACTTGTCACTGTCAGGCCTTGAGAGCAAGCGGAAACAAAGGCAGAATTTGAGAAAGAGAATGAAAAAGGTAGATGAATGAGGTAAAAAGCAGGGGGCAAAAAAAGAAGATGGATAAGCTGGAGGAAGCAAGTTTGTATTTCTAGGTATAACTTAGTATTTTTTTTATTGTTGGGCAATTTTAAAATTGACTAACCATTACAAATTAGCAACACTTCCAAACAATCTTATTCATATCTCTTGTGTTTAGCATATAATGGATTTGGGAAGAATTCTAGCGAGCAGAAACTTCTAATGCCCAGAATGGTCATGCAATAATTTTATGTTGACACTGGTTGTAAAGAGAAGGAAAATGTTCAATTGACCAGTATTGACCAGTCCTTTGAATATTCAAGAAAAACTAGCTAGTTATGTTAGTTAATGATTAAACATAACCTTAAATACTAACTGCTGATGTGCATAATTCTAGGTCTCCCGATTTGTTTCCTGGATACATTTGTCAATACAAAATCCATTATCTTTACACTTGCAAAATACATTTTCTTCCTTAACTTTTTTTTCTTTCATCTCTTTTCCTCCACATGGGGGCTCTGACCAGATCTGAAGCTAATTCAACTGGAGTGCACTCCAAGATAACCAGGGATATTGTACAGTATCTGTGCATAATGTGTTGGAAAAAATACAATAATGTCAAACACATTATGGATAGACTGTGCTATTATAGCCTTCCTTCTTATGCATCTTCCTTTTTACCCTGTGCTTTTGAACAGATGTTGTAAACACCTAAACTGCTGTAAATTAAAATCTGAGACTGTTTTGCTTTGCTTAATTATGGGTGCCCGATTGTTATAATGACGTTGAGGATTTGGAGAGGTCCAGGGAATAGCAACAAGTTCGAACAGGAGGATAGAAATTCCAACCAATCTTAACCTGCAAAACCATTTTACCTTAAAACTTAAAATCATGCAGATTTGTGGACAATTTGGAGGCTATGGGACTGTTCTAAAATTAGAAGTGTTTAGAAGAGTTAAATTAGTATATGTTTAGGTGAAATTAGTAGCGTGAGCTAGTTGAACCGGCCTCCTATGAGAGAAAATAATTTGACCTGGAACCTGTCAAGCTGCCTTTTGGGTTCGTGTGTAGCAAAAAGAGAGAAAATTATTATAATAATGATTATTTCACTTAATATCGTGCCTATTATGCCTATCGTGCTTTCAGCCAAAACATTTCAATACTCTGGAACTTGTTGCTGCCAGACGTAGCTTCTGAGTAAGGTATTGGAGCTGCTGGTGATAGAAAATCCCTCAACATACTTGGAGATGTCAGAACCTGTCATGTCATAGTCAAATCTACTAGGCCCCAGCTAGAGTACAGCTACATATGCATATTAGGAGGTCAGGCTGATGCACAATTTCTAAGTTTGAGCGGTATGAAAGGGGGTTTATTCATTTGATGAAAACATTCTTAAACATTTTTATTTCTGGACATGATTCCATCCTTTCTACACAAAGATTAGAATAGATCTTTATTTTGTCTTCACATTGGACTTTGAGCGCAGATGAAACAATGTCTGCTTATCATTTGAATGTTGGGAGGACGTCTCAAGGCGCTTGACAGTGAGGGTTTGCGTCCAAACTGGAGGTTGGATGGGGGAGTTGATCGAAGGTGCATTAGATAGGAAGATGTTAAGATGGAACTTGAAGGAAGTGAGGGAAGGGGTGAGGCAAAGGGACTTTGGGATGGAGTTCCAGAGGGTGGGGGCAGAAAGGCCTGACCGCTGATGGTGCGACGAGCAGAGTGAAGGACGTGAATCAGGCCTGTGCCTGACAAGTGGAGGGACCTGGCAGGTTGGTAGGGTTTTAGCAGGTTGCAGATATAGGGAGGGGCAAGAGTATGGATGGAGTTAAAAGTGAGGATCAAGATCTTGAACTCAATCATCATAGAATCATAGAATTATACAGCAGAGAAGGAGACCTTTCGGCCCATCGTGTCTAAGTCGGCTCTTTGAAAAGAGCTATTCAAACCAATCCCACGACCCCTCTCTTTCCATTGCCCTGCAAACTTGTTCTCACCAAATAATTATCTTTCTGGGGTTGGGGAACCGGTGAAGCCAGAAGAGGATGTGGGTGATCAGCAGAAATTAAAAATGGGTAGGGAAATGTACGGAAAAGCTTAGCACTTAACATTTGGGATTTCCAAATTTAAATCTACAGTGGAGGTCTGTAGCTCAGTGGTTAGATCACTCACCTCACAAGCAAGACACCTGGGTTTGATTCCTGGCAGGGCGGAACTTTAGGCAAGTTTCCTCACTCCACACACCTCTGTCTACCTTGCAGTAAGTAGGAACCCGGTTGTTAGTCAATCAGCAGATTGCCTTTCCAGATGTAGTAATTCCTTCAAAAAAATTTAATAAATTGATCACTTCAATCCACGACTGTCTGTGAGACACTGCTGTGCGCAATTGGCTGCCGCATTTCGCCCACAAATGTATACAGTTAACTCACCGTGAAGTGAAGCACTTGAGACGTCTCGAAGATGTGATAGGGGGCTGTATCAAAGGCAAGGATTATTATTACTAATCCTTGCATTTGATTATAGCGACTTTTACGTCAGGAGGATGTCTGAATGCGCTTTGCGGGATTTACTGCGTATTTTGTGAATGAAAGCAACAGCCAATTTGCACACAGCAATGTCCCACTCACAGTCATGGAGTGAAAGCCCATCCACTCCCTCCCTCCCTCCCTGTCCTATTTTTTTTATTCCCAACACCAATCAACCTTCATAATTAAAAGTCCTGGTCAAGCGCTCGCAGGCGCCGCGCAGCGCGCTTTATATAAAACCGAGCGGCTTTTGTTGTTCTTGGCATAAATGAAGAAAATTTACTCCCTCCCCCTCCCCCACCCAAAAAAAATAAATATATAATGATAAGGTTGCCCTGGATTGTAGGGGATTGTTGGCCAAGAAAGAAACTCCCCGGAAGGTTAACGTGGGCGGATTACGATCAGTTGAGGCTCATGTACAGACCGTCAGGGCGGCACCAGTCACGTCCGCAGCGATGACTGTACGTTGGGAGCGAAGCCAACGCTGAGAGCGGCGGCAGTAACAGCAGCGGCTGTCGGGGCTGTTGTTTCCGCTTCGGTATCTCTCGTCCTTCTCCTTTTGCAAAGATGAGTTAAGACAGTGGGGAAACAAGAGGCCATTCGGCCCCCCCTCCCCTCCTGCTCACTGCACCCCCCACACCCCCCCCCCCCCACACACACACACACACACAGCTTTGAACAGCAAGAAAAGACGCTGCGACAATGTGGCCGCGATCAGCTCCGGGATCCGGACCGTCTCTGCTCACCTGCCTCCTGTGCCTCCCTCTGGCTCGTGCCGCCCCGGACCAGGGTAAGTACCTGCAGCCCCCCCCCTCCCCTCCCTCCCTCTCCCCCCTCCCCCCCTCTCCCCCTCCTCTCCCCCGCCTGACCCTTTGTTACAAGTGCCCCTCAGTCCGGAGGCTGAAGAGAGTGACCCGGTGCGACAGTGGGTGGTGTGAGTGTGGAGCAGAGCCCCGGGAGCCGGGGGTGAGGTGCGGGGGGTGAGGCCGATGGAGGGGCTCCTCTGTGGGCTGAGGGGCTGAGGGGCTGAGGGGCGGCTTCGTGTCGGAAGCCGAGGCGGTCAGGTTAGGGGCGCAGCATTCCTGGGGACGGCCTTCCCGACCGCTCCTTACTTTCCACTGGAAGAACCTCCAGCCGCTGCGCCACTGTCGACGGGAGCAAACCCCGTCACAGCTCAGCAGCTGTTAGTGCAGCGACATTCCTGTCCCTGTCCCCCCCCTTCAGCTTCATTACCAGATACCCAGTGCCAGGATTATTATTATTATTATTATTATTATTATTATTATTATCCGTCCCAGTTTCCACGAGCCGTTGCCATCACTTCAGAGACGTCGCCCAAACGTTTCTGGGGCTCTGACGCCTCACTTTGCGGTCTCGTTTTCGCACCGCAAACTTGATTTATTTCACGAAGAAAACAACTCGTTTCAAAATCGATCATTTATCAAAATGACCGCACGAGTGACTGGTGTCAAACTTGTGTGTGTGTGTTGTTTTTTTTAAAAAAAATACATTGAACTCTTTGTTCTGGACTAGAAATCTAATGACGGCGTAAGGATGAGATTTGAAACGCTGTCGTTTGATGGTTTCCAAATGTTGAGATTGAAGCAATTCTGGTGCACATTGTTTATATTTATATGTGGTGTATGTATATATTTTTATATAAGCACATATGCATATATACCGTAGAGTGCAAAAGATTGGATTAGACCAAAAAGATGCTTTTAATTTTAAATTGCATCATACACACGACTGGTTACAAATCAATATTGCACAATTCTGAGGCTCGGTTTATAGGTCTTGTCCAATTTTGTATAATTTCAGATTCCGATACTGGACGGCTGTAATTAAGACTATAATATCTACACTTTGGGATGTACTGTTTGTAAATCAAATGTGAATTTGTAAGCTGGTGCTTTGTTTGACCCTCAATTCTATTAGCTGGAGTTAGATTGCTCGAAGGGCCAAATGGCCTACTCCTGCTCCTACATGTTATGTTAATTCTCTTGTGAACCATATGTGTGATGATTGACCACAATTGTCCTTCTCTATCTCTGGAATGACCCCTGCCTTTGCCGAGCTTGTTCCCCTCTGCTGCCTAAATGCCTTAAATGCCTAAATGCCCTACTTTGGCAGTTCTAGGCTTGATTTCTCAAATACTCTCATCAACCTCGCTTGCTCAACTGTCTACAAGCTCCAACGAGATTGTACAAAACAAAAATAAGAATGGGTATTTCCCTGAGCATCAATGTGTGAATATGCCTTGTGGGTAGTTGAGAAAAAGGGGCTTAATCACAGGATTTGTGTCTTAAGCACTCTGAGACATCGTCTGGCGTGGAGGGCGTTATATAAATCCAAATCCAAGTTGGTTGTTGTTGTACATGCCTTTTGCTTAAACACCACCAAATGGAATAAGTTGCTTCGCATTTTATAATGCTGCGGAATGACATTTTTATATTCAGTGAAAAAATTGTTTTAGTATCAATAAGTGTTAGGAAGATACAATATGAACATGATGAAATATGACACAAGATTCAGCCCATCAATCATTTTCTTTTCACATTCCACATACAATGTGATATCACAAATTCTGTTCAACATGCAGTGGAATTCCCCAGTAAAGCACACATTACGATTGAGCCACATGCAGCTGTATTGGCATTGGCTGCAGTGCCAATGATGCAATGCAATACGGAAAGGGCTGTTGTTTTATATCAATTTCTGTCTTATTTGGTTAGTGGGATTTGTATTATTTTTGCGTTGTCAGGTCCATGATCAAAAAAGAATTATAATTTTTCATTCAGTTTTGAGCTCAACATTGATGCACCATTTTATAAGAAATACATGATGTTTACTTTTAGCCTAGAAAAATATATTAAGCTGTCTTATCAACATGCCTTTGCATAACTGTCAAATTGTTAAATTGATTTTCATGATCCTCGCACTCGCCTACATATTGCTTCATTCCCTAGCAATTCCCTACTTCTCAAATCTGCTCACACCCCACTCTTCTCCCCATCCCCTTTGCTAGCATCCTGAGCATGGAATCTGCACATCCTCGACCTCCTCCACTCCCCCGTCACCAGTTGTCCCTTCAGCCACTATGCCCTGAACCTCTGGAACTTTCTGCCTCAATCACTCCACCTTGTCCCTCTTTTCCATCTTCAGATCGCACCTGAAATCTTTCCTCTTTGACTGTGCCTACAGCCACCTACTATTCTTCCTGACTTGGTATCAAACTATACATCTTTTTGCGTTATGATATGTTGCCCAGCACAAACGGAGTTTAATAAATCCAGTTTGTTGTTGTGATCAACCTGACTAAAGTCATTAAGGTTGAGAAAAAAGTTTATCCTTTCAACATTACTGTATTATGTTTCTGCTTTTCAGTATTAATTTGACCTGTTTTTCTCACTTGAAATGTCATTTAACACACTAGAACACGAGAAGAGAATTAGTTATGTTATTTAACTTTTCATATGCATAAACATTTATATAGCACCTTTCTCATTGGGAAGTTAAGCACTGGAGTGAACTTTGTTATAAACATTTTGAATATTCTGCCAGTTCTCTTATTGAATATCATTTTACAGAAAAGTTTGAAGCACTTTGAGATGTTATAGGTGCTCCAGCAAATATAAGGAATATTATCATATCATTGTAACCTACAGAACCTCTAGACCATTCAGGAAATACGCTGATAATTGCCTTAACTCTTAACTATGGGAAAGGGGTAAATCACCATTAGTATAGGGCCCTTATACAGCGGTGTTTATATTACGTGTTTGTTTTTGTTGGTGAATCAACATAATTTCAACAAAATACATACAAAATGTACAGTATTAAAATGTGCTGGGCATTTGCAAACTGCAATGGTTTCCCACTTTTGACACTCCCTGGAATCCGGCTTTGGTTTAATGTGAAAAGCAGAAATCTGGCTTCCCACTCCACATTGCTGTACTCATCTCGCAGTATTAATGCAATATTAGTCTCTTGCAGGGAATGTTTAATGATGTTTATCTTTGACCAATAAAGGAAATTAAATGAAACATCAGATTCATTATTTGATTTGTTTACAAACCACATTGTGATATAAACATCCTAATAACTATATCAGATGTGTCAAAATAATAATTTGTATGATTCACTAGTGGTGGTGACCCATGCTTATTACAAGGAACATTAATAGCAGAACATTCCTGTTTAATTTCAGTGCAATTTGTGCTGATAACGCTAAGTCCCCATCCTTCTTCCAAAACAGTGCTTTCAATGGCAAGTTATGCAGTTTTAGTGGGTTAAACTGCAGCCGTACCCAACACACTCTCTGGGATCCCCTTGCCAACCTGCATCTAATATTCGCTAGAATGTGAGTGTGCCTATTCCATTCGAGTCTCTGGAATTTTCATGTGTAGGTGGGATGCAAGGAATTCTGTTTGGTTTAGGTACTCTTAAGCATGTTGATGAGTTTTTGTGGTGACATCAAGACAGCTATCCTTATTCCGTGCTTCCTTACCAAATGATTTATAACTTTAGAATCGTCTGTTCCATTTTAACATTTACCCATGGTAAAAGTAAAGATGTGTGGTGGCTGTGTGTGGGATTTAGGCGAAGTGTGGGATTGGCCAGGATGGTTTTTGATTGACTGGTTTTTGAGTGAGGGTTTCTCTCGACTGGAAGCCTCTTAAAACTTGTTCAAATATTTCAGCTCGTCGTTATGTACGTCCCCTTGGTTTGAACTCCATGATAAAGGGAATTGCGCGTAATCTGCAGAACAGACTTAATGGACTGAATGGCCTTATTGCTATTTAGTCATGTGCATTCAAAAATGTTGTTTATTTTAATCATGAAACCTAAAATCTGTATGGATGTAGCAGGCTAGAGACCAATAGGAAATGTTTTTTTTTAAGATTGTAGCTGCTTGTTGCCTTGGACTATCATTGTACATTTTTAGTTGGACGTTTGATGCAGATGTGTCTTTTCACTGTCCGAATTGGAGATGAGCCCTGCATGGCGTTGCCAGGCTACAGAAAAATGAAAAAGAGAGAGAACAGGAAAAAAAATGAATTCCAGGTTCTTTTTAAAGATCCAGATAATTATCACAAACGTGAACAAATAAGGTAGTACTAAGTTTGCTAATATCAATTCTGAGATGTATGAGGCTTAGAGGGAAATGCATGTGTAGTACGTGTCATGTGTAAACCGTGTGTACAGTGGAAATTCCAGATACCCTTAATCATATAATAATAAACAATATATTAACAGAAGTGGTGGTAATAGTAAGCGATTCCTGTAATTATATAATATTATAATATTTATTTCAGGATAGACTGGATAGGTTAGGCCTTTTTTTGCTTGAGAAGCAACATTTAAGAGGGAACCTAATGGATGTGTTTAAAATTCTAAAAGGGTTTGATAAATAATAAGCTGTTTCCACTGAATGGAGAGTCCATAACCAGCCACATGAGTGTAGGTGGAGATTCGTGTGGAGTATAAACACTGGCACAGACTGGTGGGGCCAAGTGGCCTGTTTTTGTGTTGTACATCCTTTGTAAATCCATTGTAAACAATGGAGTGTGCTAGAAAAATACTAAAATCATATATTGTAGTAGAAGCCAAGTTTAAAATTCAGAAAGCCAAATGCACTTTAGAAGAATTGGACTAATTCAATTGGACCCATTTCATTTTTACTTTACAATTGCTTCTTCACAATTGCAACTCAAACTCCAGTAACATTCCTTGCATTTGATATAGCGCTTTATCATGTTGTTGAGATGTCTTAAAGTGCTTCACAGGATTTTACTGTAAAATATGTATTTTGTGGGTGAAATGTTTGTGGGCCAATATATTTGAGTAAGATAGATATGGTTTTACAGACACCCTATCGTTTTACTGCAGGATGCACTAACCTCTCCATTGGGCCATTTTCTAGTTGACATAGTAATGCCAAGCTTATGCCAAGAACATGCTAGTTACTGTAAGACTTGAAATGAATGCAGTTTGTGAAATGCCAGTATGTTGAAATGCCATTATGTTTGGTCAAGTGAATCACAGCTTTGCATTGCTTTGCATTGTTTACATCTCTCTGAGATACACACCCCATTAATGTTCCAGAGTGCAATTGTGGTGTCTATCCACAAGAAGGGTGACTCCAGTGAAACTGATAACTACAAAGGGATCTCGCTGATTTCAGCGGCTCTTAAAGTGGGCTTTGGGTACTCACTGCATGTGTATCGCACGCATTGAAGGCTTTGGATCATGAAGGAGTTGGCTGGCTTCCATCCTCGGGAGGAATGTGCAGGACAGGTAGTGGCTCTGTATGAGATTGCAGAAGACAATACAAATTACATTTGTATAGCGCCTTTCACATCAGGAGGACGTTCCAAAATACTGGACAGGCAGGGATTTGAACCCGAGCTGGGGATCGGAAAGGGTGGAGGGCAGGGAGGGTAGGTGAGTAGCCGTAGGCTCGGGCGAAGAGGAGAGTTTTGAGACGTGCCTTGAAGGAGGCAAGGGAGAGAGAGTGAGGTGAAGAGAATATAGGATGGAGTTCCATAGGGTGGAGTGGGCCAGCAGGGGATGTGGAGTAAGCCAGAGCGGACACGTTGATATGGGGTCAGCAGGTCGCAGAGGTAGGAGGGGGCAAGGCCATGGAGGGGCAACGTCGTAAGGCTAAGGGGAAACGCACTTACGTTGTGTTCATTGACCTTTGCAAGCCTTTCAACCTAGAGCCTCATGAGGCCCTCATGATGAACCTGGAAGCCAGAGGAGTACATGGTCAACTGCTGGATTTTATTCAGAATGTGTTTTCGAGCTCCAAGACCTGTGTAAGGGTCGATATTGGACTCACTGAGCTCATCCCTCTAGAAAATGGAGTAAGGCAAAGCGGCCATTGTCAGCCACCCTGTTTGATGAGTTCATCAACAATGGGTTTAGATGGAATCGAGGGGGAAGAACTTAGTGTATCTGTTCCAGGCCTCTCTGTTAGGATTGCGATGCTTCTGTTTTGTGCTGCTGGCGGACTCACCTGTGGACCTTCTGCGCTGCATCTGCTATCTTGAACACTGGGCCAACCAGTGGGACATGGTGGAAAGTGCCCCCAAGTGCAGAATCATGGTTCTACACGGTCTAAGAGAAGACATTGAAGGAGTTGATTGGAAGCTACAAGGGGCACCAATCAAAATTATTGATTCTCCTCAGGGCCATAGTAGACATAAACTCCAGCCTGAACACTGTCCTGAAGGACTGTGCTGAGAAGGGGCAAAGGGCACTCTGGTCATGCTCATCACTCATCAAGGACAGCAAGGTCCCAATGTAGGCCAAGGTTGTGGCATACAAGACCTGTGTGCAAGCAGTCCTTCCTTATGGATCTGAGCTCCTGGGGATGTAGCAGAGAGGTTTCCTCTGACCCACCTGCAAAGTTCAGGATCAACAACAACAACAAGATTACATTTGAATAGCACCTTTCATGTCGGGAGAACGTCCAAAGGCGCAGGACAGAGCATAGCATTTCAGACCTAAGCTGGGGATGGGGGGGGGGGTAAGGGATGGGAGAGGAAGGGGGTTGGCCGATGGCATGGTTGAAGAGGAGGGTCTTGAGGTGGGACTTGTAGGAGGCTAAGGAGGGGTGAGGCGGAGTGACTGGGGAATGGAATTCCAGAGGTTGGGGCAGAGTGACTGAAGACTCTCCCGCCAATGGTGGGGCGGTTGGGTCGGGAGACGTGGAGCAGGCCAGAGCCGGCTGAGCCGAGGGAACGGGTGGGTTGGTAGGGGTTTAGGAGGTCGCTGAATGGGAAGAGACGTGTGTTGCATTTCATGCTGAGATGCATTGCCCACCAGGAAGCTCTCGGAGTTATGGTAACTACCATCCACATCGTGAAGGCTCAAACCCAAGTTAGTCAGATGTCGAACAACTAACTAATGACTATCCTCTTTGGTGGGGAGGTAAGTGAGGTCTCATTGAAGGTCTCATTATGCCTGGCAACAGAATGTCGGAATCGAGCCGGCCCTCTGTGGTGATCTCGGTAGTCCAGTTCCTGAGCCAGGCAGGTCCACAGTATTCCAGGGCACTGCTGATGACAGCACAGCCCAGCCTGGCTCATCGGTAGGACCCAGAAGGGCAAACCAGTCACTAGAGGCAGGGAATCATCCACTTAACTGCTCTTAACCCTGCAAGCCAAAACCCCAATGGGTAGGTGGTCCTAGCTGGCCAAGCAGTGGGAAACTTTGCCAGACAGCGATATCAATGGCAAGCTATAGTTTTAGCTGATTAGACTCCAGCAGTACTCCATTGTACACTGTGGGATCCCCAAGCCTTAGCTCTTGTTCTTGCTAAACTACGCCTAATACTTTCTGGAATTAGGTAAGCTGGATGGGGCCCTTCAGGGAGAGAGTGTGGTTTCCATCCCAACAATCCCATCTCTGGGATTTCCATGTGTAGGTGGAATGCATTGAAATCTCAGCTTGGTGGATACTCTTAAGCATGGTGATGGGTTTCCGCATGTGGCATGCATCCAGCTGACCAAAACATATATATATACAAGTGTAGAAAATACACTAAAATGCATTTGTTTCTACTGTACAATAAGACTGCTTATAGAGGGTCGTCTCATAGTTGTGCGCGCTGTTTAAAAAGCTTAGAATTTAAAGTTTAGTTTACTCCCACAACTTCAAACACTTCTAGTGTGCATAATTAGGTCAATTGTTAAATTGTTGCACATCACAGAAACATTTCAAAGCGCTTTGAGACCTTCTGAATGTTTTAAGTGCTGCATAGAAATACAAGGTTTTTTTTAAAATGTCAAGACGCTGAGTTTTTTTTCCCAGGATGATAAAATGTATCCATTATGGCAGTAATGCCCTAATGATGGGGAATTCCAAGGAGATACAGTCGTGCCAATGTTTTTAGATACTTTACTGACTTGCAGAAAATTACTCACCTAGTCTACAAGCAATTGCAAGCAATTGTGTTCCAGGGAAACTTTTGCAATGGATGAGAGACTGGGCAGGAAATATAATGCAGACAGCATTGTTGTAGGTAATCTCTCTGAAGTTTAATACTCTGTAAATTTAAACTTAAATTGTTGAATTTGTCTCAACGCTGAAGACAGTTTTCTGTAGTTCTTAAAATAACTTTACAGAAAAATGGCTTAAAAATTTTGTACATTTAAGAATTTGCAATTTTTGTGTCCTCTAAATTACTACATAAATATTGCAATTAAATTTGGATTAAGATGGAAATTCTCACCACTATGCATTTTGTAGACTCTTGATTATTGATAATTTACCAAATCAGTAACCAGTGATTAGAGATTAGGATAGTCCCTGGAAGAAATAAGGGAGAGATGAGAATATTTTTCCAAGTTAGAACATGGAATTGTTTATAAATTTTTTACAAAAAGTGGTTATTGAACTTAAGACCATAACATTTAAAAAGGGATTGAATAATCATTCAAAAAGTTACAGGAAAATTTGGGATTAAAATAATTAGCTCCAATGGAGGATCTCCCATCACCATAGAAGGTTTAATGCACTGAATGGCTTCCATCTTTGCTTGTAATGTCTGTGATGTACTGCTACACTGTGTGATCAAGTGACGAATATTTCTCCACCTTCCACAGAACGGTTAGCTAGTGTTTTTATGTGCTGCTGTACTTTGTTCATGCTACAATTTAGTCATCTGGTAACTGTTTGGTTTAAACTTGGTAAATCAAGATGGCTGCATCTGTTTAGTGACTAACGTCCCGTTTTGTGATCTGCTGTGCTGCATCTTCTTTATGCCAGTTAACTTCCAGAGAACATGATTGCATGATACAAATGAAGTACTCGCTTATTTCAAGTACATATTTTAGAGTGCATCAGCACAAGAAGAATTTGAATTTAAGACAATGGATAATGCAGCTAAATTTTGTGTCAGCAACATCTCCATTTTTAATTGTCAATTCATTTAGGAGGTTGAATTTGGATGAGTGAAAGATGTTAACCAAGATAACATCCCACTTTACTTTTTTTAAAAAAGAAGACAGTCTTTATGTTAAAGTTCATCATGTAGGCAAAAGAAAAACAGCAAGTGTACATCAAGATGTGGGAAGGTTCTCCTTTACTCACTGACTAAAATTTGCAACAGATTCTCGTGAAATTGATTGGCTTATAATTTAGCCCTAAGATCTGGGAGCTACAGATGTTTGAATAGGAACACAATAGAAACTGTTCCTTAGTGCTCTGAATGTCCTGCTGACCCATAAATTGACAAATTCTTCCCTATTTTTAGACTTCCGTCTTCAACTTTGCCTATGATTGCCTCTCCTTATCCACCTTTCTCTTGTTCATTGTCCAATCCTTGTTATTACAGTGCTCTGAGCCCTTATCCTGCACAAACAGGTGCTATATAAATGTAAGTTGTTGTTGCTTTTCGTAACCTCATTCCAGAAGCACTTCCTAAATCCCTTTTCAAAGCAGTACTTGGATTTTCAGTATCTAGTTCTGAAAATCAGTAGCGTGAGCTTAACACCGTTTGTAAACAGATCATTTTTTTTGTTTTTGAATAGGACTTCTTGAACTCCCTCCTACAGTGAACCTCTCCATACGTTCTCATAACCTTAAGACTATACTAACATGGGATGTAAATGGAACATTTGGACCAACAAATTTTAATGTTGAATGGCGCCAATACCGGTAAGTACAGATGTATATTTAGAAATATTTTACACCATTGCATAATGTGATATAACTAAATCATCAAAACTTCTTGTTTTATAGACATGCGGAATGGAAGCCTGTAGAAACATGTTCAAATATTTCAGTTCATCATTGTGACCTTACTGAAGTATTCAGCCCTAATGGAAAGAATATGTATTATGCTCGAGTTATGGCATTTTCACATTTCAAAGACTATCCTTTTGCACACACAGCTAAATTTTCCTTCAAAGAGAATGGTGAGTCATGATTTGAAGGATACCCCCCATTTTTCCCATATGTTTTTTTTCCTTGATAAATTTTGATTTTTAGGAAATATGTTGATTAATTGTTTGATTTTTAGCACATGTGTTGTGTTTTACACTTTAAATATTTTTGCTGCCTTATGAGGGGGATTGTTTTTTGGGGGGTGGGTGATGAGCTGTCTCCTCTATGTCACTACTCCCCATTTGTTGCTGCTGTTATTTTAATTTTGGTGGTATCACCGTATTGAGGTATGATTTCAGCTGTAGTAGGAAGTTGACCTTTAATACAAATGTGCCACTCTCTTAAGCTCATCTTACATTACAGTTTCTGAGACTTACTCTGATTCTATCTATTCAACAAAGTGTTTATAGTCGTTAAAGTTTCTCTATTGCTGTCATGTATGGGATGAAAAAAACTAGTAATTAGTCTTGTATTTTTAAACTCATTCTATCATAGGAGCTTTATGGCTCAGTACCTGATCTGTATGGTTCACTACCAAAACCAAATTTATCCTTAGAGACGTTAGAGTGGGGGAAAGAGATAAAATAACCATTAAGTAAAACCATCCAATATGTAGGCATTCTGCCTGATAGCATTACAAGGTTACAATATAATAATTCAGTCTCTAGGGTAAATACTTACCTTAAAAAGATTTGGTTTAGAATATATTACAAGCCCTCTTTTTTTAGAATATTGTGATGTTTGGTATTTGGCATCTATTAAATATTACAGTGCATTTATATTTGTCATGGTATTGCCTCATACAGCTACATTTGATGCTCCCAATGTAACTATTCAATTTGATGGAAAGAACTTGATTGTGGAAATTAACCATCCGGTTGCTCATATAACATCAAAAACTATGAGAAACGTTTTACTTCCTTTGAACTATACTATTTACTCCTCACAAAATGGAATTAAAAGTCAGGTAAGAATTTATAAGTTACAGTTGTCTGAAGCTTCATGTTATTACTATGCAGCATCATCTGGGTTTATTTAAATGGACTTAAATGGATTCCCACACAAAAAACACATGCACTGCACTTTATAGCATATCCTGTGAAGTGCTTTGGGACAACAACTATGTGGTAGCGTCTCAGAGTGTTCTCCCACTGTGACTGGCATTATATGTAATTTAAACGTTATTATGTCTGTGACACCCTGGTAACTGAATGTATTTGTACAGGCAGATATCAGTCTGACTCAGTGGGTTAGCACTCTCACCTCTGAGTCAGAAAGTTGTGGGTTCAAAGTCCATCTTGGGTCTTTGAACTCCATTTTGACTGACACTCTCACTACAGTACTGGAAGTGCTGCACATGTGAAGTGAGTCACAGTGGTCGGAAGAAATAAAGAAGCTGTTTATATCTTAGATCAGTGGTGGCCAACCTTTTTGGATGGCCAACAAAATTAATTTTCTTGAATGAATATCTCTTGATTTATACCAAGAAAAACTTGGAAATGCACTAATTGAACACAGCCTTATCTAGACATGTGCGAATATTAGGGGATGCAGTTTATTGACAGCCCCATGGGCTACAGGTTGACCACCAATACCTTAGATAGTAAAAGAGTTAGAGGAGCAAAGTGTTCTAGGGATGCAGATTTAAAAAATCTCTGAAAATAGAACACAAGTGGCTAACCCCATATAGAATGCAAGTAGAGTCCCGGGCTTCATGTCCAAAGGAATATAATCAAAAAGCAAGGCAGTAATATATAAAACCATAGATCACTTGTAGACACCAAGCTCCGTGAGCCGATTACCCCCATCCTCGCCTGGCTTCACTGGCTCGTCATCCCCCAGGGGATTAAGTTTAAGATCCTCGTCGCCATTTTCAAAGCCCTTCACCATCTTGCTCCTCCCTTCCTCTGCAATCTGCTAACACCTTACCAACCTGCCCGCTCCCTCCGCTCGGTGGGCACTGCCTGTTCCATGTCCCTTATCCTGCCTGCCCCATCATCAGCAGTTGGGCTTTCAGCCTTTCTGCCCCTACCCTCTGGAACTCCATCCTGGAGTCCCTTCATCTTGCTTCCTTCAAGGTCTGTCTCAAGCCCTTCCTCTTTGACAGTGCCTTCGGTCATCCTGCTACTCCACCCTCCCTTTGTCCCACTTGTCTTGATTCCAATCTCCAGCAAACCCGTGACGGTCCAGCACTTCGGGACATTATCCCAATGTGAAAGATGCTCTGCAAATACAATTGTTGTTGTTAAATTGCCCTACTGGTATGAAAATTCAATGGTTGAATTTTCACTATGCCTGAACCTCTGGAACTCCCTGCCTCAACCCCTTCACCATTGCCTCCTCTTGCCTGTCTTCACATCGTATCTGAAGATTTCCTTTTTCGACCATGCCAACAATCACCACCTCTTTCTTCCCGGCTCAGCTTCAAACTACCCCATTATTTAATGCTCCGGTGATATCTTGTATGATGAATGCTATATAAATGCAAATTGTTGTTGTAAAAACTGACTGGAAAAAAGTCTAGAGAGAAAAATTGAAATATAATTTTGAGGGGATTCTGCATTCTCAGAGGTCTGCAGTATTTAGATTGTTGTAGATATTTGAAGATACCTGTTTTGAACTGACAGCGATGATATGCCACCGTGTCTAGAGATTTCCTGTTGTGGAGAGACAGATGAAAGAGATCTTTGTGCAAATTTTTGCATTACATTATGGATTAATTCAGTGGTTGTAGGTCTGAAGCTCACAGTTGGGAGGATGATTTAATTGGTAAGCAGTGTCTTTGGGAGCATTGAAGCTGATTTCTGTAACTTTGTTTTATAGCAGAATCTGATTTTTCTTTTCATTTATTACAGAAAGCTAAAGTTGCTTGTTCAAAGTTTCCATGTGAAGTGCCATTAAATGTCACAAGGAACTTGGTTCAACAAGAAAATTGCTGTGTGTCTGTTCAAGCATATTTCATCAAAGCCCAGCTGAGGGGAGAAAGGTCACAACAAAAATGTTTACTGGTTCAATTTACTGAACCGAAAGGTAATGTAGTCATGGATGTAACTTTGTGTCTTTAATCTCTGATTTATTGGATTGTGAGTATGGAAAACTATTCTGATCTATATGAGAATGAATAATTGTATCTATAGATCAATGTAAGATATTATTGCTTGGTGCTAACAGTCAGAAGATCTAAAGTGACTACTTCTACCACTTGGCTTCTGACTTTGTAAGATCAGTATCTGGTTTGCAGTATTTTTAATGTAAAGCATCCTGTTGGATTTCCATTGATCTCTGCTCCGGAAGTGAATCACACGAGTTCCTGTGGTTCGTTATGGAGATAAAAATCTCACAATTATTTCTTGGCACAAATCCTCATCCTCCTCAGTGGAGGGGAAATGACACAGGCACGCACAATGGTCTGAATGGCAACTTTCTCTGCCGAAATCTGTGTGATTCTATAAACCTCCAGGAAGGAAGCTGTATGGAATGAATTCCCACTGTAATTAGTGAACAAAGAGACCACTGTTTTTACAGATTGTATAGAATATTCCCCTCCCTCTTCTTGATATTGAGTAATACCATCAGGCACAGAGAGCAATAATTTGAATAAGATTTACTGGGTTTCATATTGGATCTCCAAGCCAAAGCTATCAGGATGCTTTTGCCACTGGATTTTGATCAATGTGAGGTGGACATGCCTGTCTGTCAGTGCAATAGTGCTTATTTATAGCCTCAATACAGAGTATTTACAAGACGCAGCTAGATGTTAGTTGGATATTGTGAAAACAACAACTTGCACTTATATAGTCTCTCCATGCAGGGTAGCATCTTTTTGAGCCATCAAAAAGTCAGATTTTATCAACATTGTTTTTTTTAAAAAAAATAGTTAAGTCTTGCTAACAAGTATAGGTGGGGTTGCTTCATAATTTGACTGTGTGCTGACATACTCAGAATTTTAATCACAATTTCCGTGGAGTTTGTTTGGAAGCTGTCCCTTGATTTGATGCCACCAACCTCAATCAGCGAATGTTGACTATGAGCTTCCAAAATATTAAGTGAGAACAATCGCTGCAATCTATCAAAAAAGAGGCAATGCCAGTTTGGGTCAAATGGTAATCAGGGAGAAGACTATCATCACTTCAACCAAATCCAGGTAGCTGATGACTCTTAATGGCATTGGTCCAGCAAGGCAATCTCCCACTGCCTTACTGATGAATCGATAGCCTTAGGAGGAGTAAGTGAAAGATTTTGCCAGTCCTCTTGATCCCTACCTCAGGTACATACAACAGAAGAACCTGAAGTAGCTGTGCTAGAGATGAGAAGGTACCCGGCTAATGGTAGAGGCAAGTTCTTTTCACATAATGCTGCAAGCTTGAATATCTTTTTGGTAGTCTTTGGAGAAGCAGGAAGGAAAGAGCAGAGAAAGCTCAATTGAGGACAATATCTAAAGTAACAGCGTCGTGCCAATGAATGAGGTTTCACTTGGCCAGTTTGCTGCTCAAAGTGCAATGATGCGATGGCATGCGCCTTCATGAATGCCACGTGATATCTTGACAGATTCCAGGATGGTGTTCCCAGATACCAGCAGAAAAGGGGAGGTGGAGTCAATAGATCAACCAAAGGTTAACACTTCCCAGAGTCAAGAGTTCGAGAACTATTTGGAGGAGTATTCTGATGAATATTATCACAATTATTATGATCAGGACATTGGGTATCAATATGACTACAGGACCGATAATGAGGATGATGATGATGAGGAGGAGGAGGAGGAGGGCAATGAGCTAAAGGAGACCCGAGAAGAGTTGATTTCTGCGGTGCCTCCCAAATCTCATCAGGGCAATGTAAATATTTCCAGAGGTACGTATGCCCTGATCATGTTTGCTGGTGCCCTGTGCCAGGTCCAACATCATCTGCTTAGCTTCCTCCCTTTTCCTCTTATAAATGTTCTTCCTTTTTTTCGCTGGAATGCCAATCAAGTTTGTTTTTAGTGAACGAGGCAGATTCCACTGCATCCAGGAGTTACATGATTGCATATGCTGGGTAGAAGTCCTCAAGGCTATAATAGTCCCAACTGGTTCCATTATATATTCTTTGCAATATATTATGACTCCATCCAATGCCTAGTCACTGTCTTTTCAAAAGGTGACCACTTGCGAGGGCCAGGAGTCTCTGTTGCTTGCAGACTGGCTCAGTGCTCAACTTACAGCAGTGAGGATAATAATAAATAATAATAATAATCCTTGCATTTGATATAGCGCTTTTCACTTCGGGAGGATGTCCCAAAGCGCTTAACAGAACACACTGTAAAGTGAATTGACTGTATATTTATGGGCGAACGCGGCAGCCAATTGCGCACAGCAATGTCCCACAAACAGTTGTAGATTGAAAATGACCATTTTTTATTATTGTTTTTGCTTTTGGAGGGATTATTATTAGGCTCTGTGTGGAGTAAGGAAACTTGCCCAAGGTTTCGCCCTGCCTGGAATTGAACTCAGGTCTCTCACTTGCAAAGCGAGTGCTCTAACCACTGAGCTACAGGACTCCACAATGGACTCCAGGATGGTACATTCCCAGCCGTGGTGAAACTTCCATTCTTCCCAAGAATAAACACAAGTGATAAGACATCCTGAATTAATAATGTTTAGACTTCAGCTGAAGCTGGAAATCCATCTTGTATGTTGGCTTCTTTCCCAAGAGCCCGCTTCATCTCCATTAAATTCCCTCCTCTCCACTTGGCTAAAGGGGACCTGAGATCAACAGAATATATTTACTCAATACGATTCACATGTTACTTTTAACTGCATCCATTTTTTTACACCTCCTCAACTTCCTGCACAGGACAGATAAAAAATCCTGTTGTACACATGTAGGAAGTTGTGTGCATGCCCTCAAGGTTGTGTGCAGGCCGCAAGGCCCATCTCAAGACCTTTCTCTTCAACCACGGCTTCGGTCACCCTCTCTGCCCTCCACCTCTTCTGATCCCAACTCCCAGGTCGGAATGCAAATCCTTGACGGTCCAGCACCTTAGGACATCCTCCTGACGTGAAAGGTGCTATACCAGTGTAATTGTTGTTGCTGAGAATGGGATTTAGTTGCTCATTTGGCTAAATCCCATTCCAAGTAACTTCAAGTGATGTATATAATGTTGCTCTTGTGCATAACAGGACTCGTTTTTTCAGTAGCATGAAGGCATGTCGTTATGCTCTTGTACAATATAGGGTTAGAATTAGAAGGAGATGGGAAAATAGAAAACAGAAATTCAGAGATAAAGAGAGCAATAGAGAAAGAGAGAGAATAAGAAAGAAGGTCAGAGTGAAAAAAACAGTAAAAATGTGGCAGAGAGAGAGACATGCACACATACTAGGACTGGTTCAGTCTGGTACTTCATAGAATCATAGACTTATACAGCACAGAAGGAGGCCATTTGGTGTCTCTTTGAAAAGAGCTATCCAAATCAATCCCTCTCCCCCACTCTCTCCATAGCTCTGCAAACTTGTCTTTCCCAAATAATTATCTACTTCTCTCTTAAAACTTGTTATCGCATCAGCTTCCATCACCCTTTCAGGCAATGCATTCCGGATCCGAACAACTCACTGCGTTTTATCAAAAAAAAATGTCTCCTCACCTCCCCTCTGTTTCTTTTAACAACTATTTTAAATTGGTGTCCTCGGTTTACCGCCCACCTGCCAGTGGAAATAGTTTCTCCTTGTTCACCTTATCGAATACCCTCATCATTTTGAATACTTCTATTAAGTCTCCTCTTAACCTTCTCTGCTCCAAGGAGAATAATCCTAGCTTCTCCTGATGACTGAAATCCCTCATTCCTGGTACCATCCTGGTAAATCTCTTTGCACCCTCTCCAATGCCTTGACATCCTTCCTAAAGTGTGGTGCCCAGAACTGAACACAGTACACTAGCTGAGGCCTACCCAGTATTTTATAAAAGCTCATCATAGCTTCCTCACTTTTGTATTCTATGCCTGTATTTATAAAGCCTAGTATCCTGAATGCTTTTTTAACAGCTTTATCTGCCTGTCCTGTTACCTTCAAAGATTTACTTATATGAACCTCCAGGTCTCTCTGTTCCTTCACTCCCTTTAAGATTGTACCATCAGTTTATATTGCATCTGGAGGCAGAGGGCATGGCTGGTATTTGTTACAGTATAACTCCTAATGGAACAATTTTAAAGCCATTTTGTATTTTACATGATGATGAATTGTTAGCTTCCAGCAATGGGAAAAATTCCAGTTAGTTTGCATTATTGGCTCTGCTGTACTTGCAAATGTCCTGTGTAATGTACCACAGCTCAAGAAGATATGTAATTCAACCCAGGTCAATAAAAATTGTACAGGATGGAGTTTTCCCACCATTTGCACCATCATCAAGAAACACTGCAAGTTATAATGTAACTTGTAGATATGTATTTAAAAATGTTTTGCAACCAATTTGTCAATGTTCTTCTCTGTTGCTTTTCCATTGTTTTCTCTGTCAGATGTTAATAACAGCTGCATAACTCTGGCAAGTTTTTTTTTAATAAAAACAATGTTGGCGCTTTTTATAATAATGTGCTCTTGCTTATTGTTCATTGTTCTTGGTGTTTGACTAATGCTATCAGCTTTTAACATACATCTTATAGATGAAGGAACTTGATATGTTGTGACAGATATTGTATTGGAGGTGAACTTGTCTGAATTGCACTGATACTATTGACTCCTAGTTTGTAAAATTTGTGCAAAATGAACACATTTCACTTTGAAGGAAATGTAAATGGAGGGAAAAGAATAAGCACAGTACTACAGAGTGAAATGGAAAAGGTGTCCTACATATTTTATCAAACATGCTTCTTGCCTATAAACACTCTTTGAATGGTTAAAACATTATAGTGTAGGTTTACTGGGTACCGTTTATCTATATTTGAGTAATGCGAAAGTAGTTGCTGTGTACTTTTAAGCATGAATTTTAGTTTATATTTCAGGAATGCAAAGAAAAAAGAATTCAAACTTATTTTATACATTAGTTAAACTGTTAGCCACCTCAGTGAGGCCTGCCATCTTGGCTCAGTTGGTAGTACTCTGAGTGGGAGGTTGTGGGTTGAAATCCTTCATCGGGAACTTTCAGCTTGTGATTGAGGCTAACAATTGAGTGCAGTGTTGGGGGGTTTTCAACATTACCAGAGGTGCTATCCTTCAGATGAGCTATTAAACTGAAGTTGTCTCTGCCTGTTCAGGTGGAGGTCCCAGAACATTATTGAAAAGGAGAAGGGAATTTCTACAAATCCTCTTGTTAAATTGGTCATTCACCTTTGGGCTACTTGTAGGACACGGCAGTGCTCAAATTGGCTGGCATGTCTGCCTATAAATACAGATACTACACTTTATAGTAGATACTGTTTTGAGATGTTTTTGACGAGATGAGGAGACACATGAATACAAAGATTATTTAAACTATTTGGCTACTTTGTGGTAATGTACACTTCAAAAATAAAAGCGCCTATACATATTACCAAACAAATGATTTTCTCATCTGATGTCTTCCAACGAATTGTCAGCATCATTAAAGAACATAAGAATATACAGTACTGGAAAAGACCATTGATATATGAATTGCATTTTATAATAATAATCCCTGCATTTGATATAGCATTCAAAGCGCTTCACAGAATTTACTGTAAAGTGAATTGACTGTATATTTTGTGGGGCAAATGTGGCAGCCAATTGCGCACAACAGTCTTGAATTGAGTGACTAAATTATTTGTTTATTTGGACTATTATCCCCAGAAAGCGATCTGCCAATCAACTAACAGCCGGGTTCCTATTTACTGCTAGGTAAACAGAGGAGTTTGGAATAAGGAAACTTGCCTATGGTTTTGCCCCACCCGGGAATCGAACCTGGGTCCTCTCTCTTGTGAAACAAGGGCACTGTCCATTATGCTATGGGACTCCATAATGTGCAGATCAGTAGGGTTGGGGGGTGGAAGAAGATGTACCAAATTTTAGTATTTTTTTAAAAATTCACCTTGCTTCAAAACAACTACTGTATAGAAGTCGTTCTGCTACTTTGAGAGAAAAAAACTTATGTTCAATTACCTTTTTTTGTGTTTCTGTTTTAGGGCATTTCGTTATCATCGTATTGTCAGTTTGTACAATTTTCTTGATTGTGCTGGTGGTTTCAATAGTATGTGGTATTAAGAAATTTTCTAAAAAGGACCTGGTGTTGCCAAAGTCTTTGGTAAGTACTTTGTAAAATATCTGATTTGAAGTCTCTCGCATTATCACAGCTGTGATGTTGTTGTGGACAGAGCTGCAGCTAACGGGCCAGGAACTTTCTGGTTTGAATCTTGAGCTGGGCTGAGCACACTGGGCTGAATATGTAGGTTAAATTGGCTCAGGCCTTTTAAGGAGTGGAGAAGAAAAACTGGATCCAGAGTTCCTTCCTCTCTGTCTGGGTTAGATACTCTTAAATACGGTGATGGGTTTCAGTGTGTGTCAGAGACTTTGCTGACAAAAAAAAGATCCAAGGTTCTTATTCCTGGTCCCGCTATGGCACTCTACTTGGTTGTGTTGTGTGCGTGTGTGGCAGCCAGGGTGGGGAGGTCAGGCTCGACTGACACAACAACAAATTGCATTTGTATAGTGCCTTTCATGTTGGGAAGACATGCCAAGCGAAAAAAAAAAATTATATATATATATATACATTCTATATTCTTTGACTGTTTTTACATAAGTTTGTTCTATATGCATCAAATGAAACTGAAGGAATTGTGACTTTGTTAACTGATACTGTTTAATGTAATTATAGTTTGCCTTTACAGATTTTTTGTACTGGATTATAAACAAATCTTTCAATTTCTGGATATTTATTCATGTAGAATTCATACAGAATATTGCCTTTCTCATTGCAATATGGTAAATTTAACTGAAGTTGCAATCTGGTTGCAGGCTCACCTCGTAATGGGTGGACGACCTTATACCTCTGTTGGCATGGGGAGTAGGGAGAGCAGTGTATCTGTGGTGATCAAGATCGAGGAGGCCGTCAACAAGATGACTAACCTTTGTGAGGGTGACCTGAGTGATGAAGCACAAACAGAAAAGGAAAGTTGTCAAGACATTGCTAACTTTGGCGAGACTAATCTGAGTAACTGTGCCTTGGACAACATGTGTGTGAACAACATCAATACTCGTGGCACAGATCAAGAGGGTGCTGATCAGGACAGTACTGAAGTAGGCAACGTTGAACCAAACAAGACTGATGTCGATTCCATTAATCCAGATGAAACTGTTACACAAACTACCAAATCAGACAATATTAGCCCAGTCTCTACTGCAGACAACTGGGGATATGATAAACCTCATGTTCCATTGGACATGTTTACCAATTGCACTGATGAACAGAATGGCTACAGGAAGGCCAGCTCTGCGGTTGAGGTAGACTAACTAGCATTGGTATGCTCTTGCTTAAAAGGCAGATGTAATGATTAGCACTTTAAAGGGTTAAATCTGGAACTTTATGAAGTTGTCGGAACCTGTAGGACATGGAATTCCCAAAAGGGCTGCGGTGGCTGATACTGGTGAGCGAAGAGAAGGATGTCACCAGTACTTTTAAACTTGAATATCAAAGGCTTCACTTTTAAGACCATTTTAAGAGTGACTATCTTCTGGTATTGCCTGGGATCACCAGTTTATGTGTGGAGGGAAGAGTGAACACTAACTTTGGTATGACTAACTTTGACCACGTTTACAACAGCAACTTGCATTTATATAGCGTCTTTCAGGTAGCATCCGTAGCGCTACCCCGTTTAGAAACAAGTGGAACTACTACACTGTAATACTTTAGATAGAATCGCAACTTGGCACATGCCTCAAACATGACCTATTGTTACAAATTGGCTTTTGTATTACATGAATACAAGATAAAATGTGAAAGCTGAATCTTTTTTCTGTCATTAGACTCCCTATTTTACTTGTGGCACCTTGTTTGAGGTGACTAAACCCTTGACGAGGTAAGTTTAAATTCAGTTTAATAATAATATTCCTTGTATTTGATATAGCACTTCATCACGTTGTTGCAATATCTACGCATTGCAGTGTCCCACGCACAGTTGTGGTTTGAGTGACCAAATTATTATATGGGGGGAGATTATTATCCACATTTCTTGAGTGTATGTGTGTGTAGCTTGAAATACATTTGAATAACTCAAAGGTTCTTAGTGAAACTGTACCGATTTCACGGCGCACATTTTTGCTCCCAAAGCTTATTCTTCACTTGTTACCTTTAACCTCATGATCAGGCATGACTATAAAAATAAGAGTTTACTGCGATTGTAGTTGTAGGGATATTGTCGCACAGGAACTGGGTCATTTGACTGGCTTAGTGTAAATATACTTTGGTCAGCAAATGTGGATCATAATCCATTGTAATAACCATCATAAAACTTCATTTTTAAACATTTCAACATCCTTCTCCCCCAAATTGATAAGATCTTATTAGATGCATAACATATATACAACCACTCATTAAGGCTTAGTAAAAGTAAATGCATTACGCTAGTGTGCTTCATCCAGAAATCTGTACAAACAACAACAATATATAACACCTTTTACATTGCAAAAATCTTCAGTGTGTGAGTGAGCAGTGTCACACATATAGATGAAGATGATCTTGATGAATGAATGTGGGTTTTGCAATTTAGGCAGGGCAGAATGGCAATATCTAAAATGCATCAGTCATGCTGAGGTTAACTACAGAGGTTTTGCCTGAATAAATTATCCGCATGTTTCAGTCTGGCTCAGTTGGTAGCACATTTGACTGATCCAGGTTATGAGTTTAGCTCCATGTTGGGATTTTAAGATTGCATTCTAAGTTAACACTCCAGGGCAGTACAGTAAAACTTGTATATGTCTTATCTTTACAAATTGTACTTTTGTATTATAATAATAATCTTTGCATTTGATAAAACTCCTTATCACGTCTTCGAGACATCCCAAAGTGCTTCACAGTATACAAATATACTGTATAGTGAAGTTACCATACATTTTGTGGACGAAACGTGGCAATCAATTGTTCACAGCAGTGTCCCAAAAACAGTCGTGGATTGAGTGATTTAAAGGGATTATGCCAATTGAAAACAGAGGCGTGTGGAGTAAGGAAACTTGCCCAACGTTTTGCCCTGCCTGGGAATTGAGCCCAAGTCCTCTTGCTTACAAGGCGAGTGCTCCAACCACTAAGCTACAGAGCTAAGTCGTACATGCATCCGAGTCCCATTCAACTTCCTTTCAAAATCCACTTAGATCTCTTTGCTCTACCCGCATTAATCACCACCTAACTCATAACACTGCTCCCCTCCTTCATTACTTCCATACTTACCGGCTTCATTGAACCGTGGAAAATTATGCCCTGACCTGTCGACGTATTTGCACTTACCAACTGGCGGCCTTGAATTTCGGAAAATGTTTTCTTGGTCCATCACTGCAAGTGCAGAAGAACTTCATTGTCTGTGAATGAATGTAATTCCAAAGCTTTCTGGTAAGTGCACATGCAGCGGCGGGTGAAGACGCATTGAATCACAGGAAACTTTCTGGTAAGTGCACATGCAGCGGCGGGTGAAGATGCATTGAATCACAGGAAACACATTAATGTGTTATATTAATAACATTTAATATGATTTACATAAGTCATATTAAATGTTATGGTCCTGATGGTTGATGATGATAATAATAATAATACTTTCATTTGATATAGCGTTCTCGAGACAACAACAACTTGCACTTATATAGTGCCCTCCATGCAGGGTAGCGTCTCAGAGCGCTTTACAGTGGAGGAGTCTGACTCCGTACAATGAGTATGGCTTCCTTCTTGTCCATATTCAGCTTGCAGGAACGTCTCAAAGCGCTTCCCAGAATATACTGTAAAGTTAATTGACTGTATATTTTCTGTATGATACGACTTATGTGAGTTTTACTCTCCTGGGGAAGAATTGTACTGAATAGAGAGGCCTGCCATCATCTGGATGAGACATTGAACCAAAGTATTCAGGTTGTTCTGTTCAGGTGAATGTTAGACCCTATCAGTTTCTCCTGGTGTCCTAGGCAACAGACCTGCAACAATTTGCTTGCACAAAAAAGGTCTGCAAACTTCTGAGGAGTTTGAGAGTTTTTAACATGAGCTATAAAAGTTTTTTTTTCCTTTTTAGTTATAACTGATAACTGTTAAGGTTCATATTCTTATTTTGGCTTTGTGAGTTCAGCTGCATCTAGTGCAAAAAGGCTGAAACTGCGAACTGTAACTAACAGGGACCCCCAGCCTCGTTATACCTCATTAGTTCATAATAAATAGTAGTATATTTTATATAGCACCTATCACATTGGGTGGAAATGTTTTGTATAACTTACTAGGAGCCCGAGCTTAGGGGTGGGAGGAAGCTGAGGAGAGAGAAGGAAATGTGGCTGAAAGCACAAAGAGATAAGTCTTAAGGGGTGGTTTGAGATGAGTCTCAAGGGCTGCTAGGGCATTGCAAAATGTCTCGGGGATGGTGTTCCAGAGCGCTGGGCAGAATGGCTGAAAGCTCACCGACTAATGGGCAGAGCCGGATAGGGGACATGAACCAGGCCAGTGTTTGCTGAGCAGAGAGCGCAGGTTTGACCATAGGTTCAGAGGAGGTTGGAGAGGGAATGTGGGGCAAGGTCATGGAGGCTTTTTGAAAGAAGGGTAAGAACTTTTGTAATTGATTGACTGGCGGATGAAGAATCAGTAGAGCCAAGTGAGGTCGTGGATGGTGGGATGTTGGATCTTTGTGCTAAGGAGGAATCCAGCTTGTGTAGAGAGGAGCAGGGGAGTCTTCCGAGGAGAGCATTGGCATAATAAAGAGAATCCCAGCAATAGTAATGATAAACCTTGCATTTGACCTAGCGCCTTATCACGTCTTTGAGATGTCTCAAAGCGCTTCACAGAATATACTGTAAAGTGAATTGACTGCATATTTTATGGGTGAAACGCGGCAGGCAATTGCAAACAGCAGTGTCCCACAAATAGTCATGGATTGAGTGACCAATTTTTAAGGAATTATTACCCCCTGAAAAGCAATCTGCCAATCGACTAACAACCGGGTTCCTACTTACTGCTAGGTAAACAGAGGCATGTGGAGTAAAGAAACTTACTGAAAGTAATCGAACCCAGTTCCTCTCACTTGCGAGGCGAGGGCTCTAACCACTGAGCTACAGGACAGCAATGGCTCCAGCTCTAGTCAGCCACTCATAGATTTAGTAGTTGAGACTTTTAATAGAGTTTTAGAGAACTGTGCTGCAGCAGTGAGCAAACGTGTAATCTGCAGATAAGAAACCGATAGTGTGGGTTAGCGACACACCCTTCAAACATGAATTCCTCCTGTTCCTGAATGGGAAGTTAGCTTGTGGTCATCACCATGACAACCAAGGCTTGCAACTAAAATAGCTAATTGAGGTGGTTTTGGTCTGAAGCTAGCAGCACAACTTGTGATTTTTTAAATATATATTATTTATACGTGTGTATGTGTAGATATATCTATATTAAAATAAGTCTGGCACTGCACACAGTCTAAATAAAGTTTTCTGTGAAGAACTGAGCAAATTGTGTTCTGAGCTGGTCTGTGCGTCACAAATTTGACTCTTACCACAGGACTTCCTCTTCCATAACCACTTACTGTAATCCTTAGGTGATATTCTGCCTGTTGAACAATGGCTGCTGAATGCTCAGCTTTGAGAATGATGTAGATTAATCAACATTCTGGTTTGTGCTTGTGCTGGAGACTGCAAACAATGATTTAAAATGTCAGCAGCTCGTCTGACCTGCTGCATTTGTGTTACAAGGGACTGTTCTGTGTTTTCTCCTTCTAATTTTAAGTCATTTCTGGTGCAGGCCCTGAAGGGCCATGCATTTTAATTCTATAGATTAAAAACTTTTAAACTGGAAGAGTTTTTTTTTTAAATGAAAAAAGAGGCTAAATGTTTTTGGGGTCAGCCGGGTGCAATTTGAGGGCTTGGGGCTGGGCAGCCCATTTATGTGGTGGTGACCAGAACTGTGTGTAGCACTCTAGGTGCGTCTGACTAGTGCACTGTAAAGCCTGAGTAATACACATGGATATAAACTCAACTGATGTAGCAAAATAGTCCAGCATCTGTGTCCTGGAGGTGTATGGAAAATGAGGATTATGAGGGAGGGATTGGAGGGCTGGTAGAATAAGAGATGATCAAAGATCAAGAAAGAACCAGAGGAGTAAAAGGCCAGAATAATTTGAGTCCTTCACATAAATGTCACACCACCACCATGGCTGCTGGGTGGAGAGTGTGGTGGAAGTTGTAGTCTAGTGGGGACAACTTCTGTGAGAGTGAGGGTTTCACTAAGGGTGAGCCAGGTTTCCATGAGGCTGAGAATGTCTGTTTTCATCCAGGAATAGATTGGAGAGGGGAAGGGGCTTTATTGCCTAGGGAATGCATGTTTAGTAGGGTAATGTGTAGACCAGTGGTGGTCAAAGAGAATACTAAATATTAATATTACAACAATTGTAAGGATAGAATATTTAAGTAATAATAATCCTTGTATTTTGATATAGCGCTTTTCACGTCTTCTCGATGTTTCAAAGCGCTTCACAGAATAGACTGTAAAGTGAATTGACAGTATATTTGTGGGCGAAACGCGGCAGCCAATTACGCACAGCAGGTAGTCAATTAATTAATTCAGTAATACATTAATTTAACAGTCAAAATAACTAGTTGGGGTTTCTCTACATTAGGGTTAGGGATCATTCCTAACATCAAAGGCAGCTGAAACTCTCATCCATGCTTTCATCATTTCACAGTTGGACTATTTCAATGCCCTCCTCGTTGATCTCCACAGCTTCACCATACACAAAATTAAACTAATTCAGAACTCCGCCGCCTGAATACTCACC